TTTTTAACAGTTCAATGTTGTATGTTTTGTTTTTTTCACTCAGATTCTCTCTCAGCCTAACCTGGTCCCTCCATTGGTAAGAGCCCCACATACTAACACCTTCCCAGCGCCTGTTCAGAGGCCACCAATGGCACTGGCCAGTCAGATGCCTCCTCCGCTGACCACAGGCCTCATGAGCCATGCTCGTTTGCCACATGTAGCCAGGGGTCCTTGTGGATCACTATCTGGAGTCAGAGGTAATCAGGCCCAGGCTGCGTTGAAGGCTGAACAAGACATGAAGGTTAGTACAGTGTTAACAGCCAACAGAGCAAGAATCTGTCTCTGAACCATGTCTTAAAATGCCATTGGACCCATAATCATATATCCAGGCATTCATTGTCTTACCAGATTTAATGAAGCTAAATTACCTTTATTCATTATTTTGGGGTTTTTTTTTTTTTTTCCTCCCTCCCACCCTCACCTTTTTTCCTTTTTTTTGTTTTTGTTTTTGTTTTTGTTGTTGTTTCTGGTGCTTTTGGTTTTTTGCAACTCTAGTCAGAAACCAAATTAACATTTTAAACTCTGTGGCCAAATGAATTGTTCATAAAACAGGTATTTGAGGGAGATCTGAGTTTGGATGCTATATTTTTTGAAATAGCAGAAAAGTAATGTGTATTTATTATAGGCTTCCCCATTTTCTTTCTCTATTTTTTTGTTTGTTTTTCTTCCCTCCCTACTCCTCCCCCTGCCCCTCTTTGCATCTATTTTGATATGTAATCATGGTGGTTTGAAAACTCTGGAATGGGTAAGACACCTATGTTGATTTTTCTAGCACAGTTTTCTTCTTAAAATGTTTTCACATCCTTTTTTGTTTTTTGGGGTTTTTTTTGCCTGCCACTTGAGGTGGCCATATTCCACAATGTGCAGTTGTAGATGAAGAACTTAGAAAAGCACTTTGGGATCCTTCATGATGAAAGGCACAAATCAACATAGGTTTGCTAAAGCAGAGAATATCTTAGTAGTCTGTGTGGGGACAGTTCTTGTAGCACATACCTTACCTGTCTGCCTGTACTGCCAGTGGGAGTTTATTACAAATTTACTTTCGGGTTGACTTGAGAGATCTTAGTAATTTTATCTGTTTTTGTCACTGCATAAATCAGTGTAGAAATTAGACTAGAAAAAAAGATGCTTACAAATAGTGAAATGTGCACAGTAAGGCTTTAGTCTGTCTGAATTGGAAACATGTTTGTGATGACCCTATTAAAGAATTCAGTAGATACCTAAGTTTCTTTCTGGGTTGACATCCTTTTTGTTTCTGATGCTGAGTAATCAAATTTAAACACTATCCTGGAGTAAAACTCTTGTTAAATATTACCTACTTTTATTAGGCTACTTCAACAGATTTTCATCTGTTTGTTACTACTAAAAATACTAGTATACATAAAAAGTTTTGGAAATATTATTTGGCCTTGGTTTCCAGTACTGCTCCAGGCTACTTGGCATTTGATTTTCACACATTCTCGTGTTAGAAATGACACTAGCGCTTAACTAATCTTAATGGGGTGGGAAAGTATACAAATTTCTTGAAACTTGACTTGCTTTCAGTCTTTGGATAGAACATGTTACCTGTAGAACTCGAATTTTTTTGTTATATATGCAAGAGATATAGAAACTTAAGATTTAATCTATGTATGTTACAGTGGTATAATTTGCAGAGTAACGTAAGTATTTTCTTTGGGGCACATAGTCAATGAAACTAAGAAATTATTTTACCCGCTCAGAATGTGGTAGGAGCTATCAGAACTTAGTGATCCAGTGAAGTTGTAGTTACTAATTTCTGATGCTCTTCCCCTGCAGAAGAGAGCTGTGGGAAGAGGACTCAGCCACAAGACATTTGGTCCTAGGTGTTGGTAATGCCACAATATAAGTGCTTCCTTTTCATTTTATTGTAGACCACATATTGATAGCAGTTTTAAGTGTTACATGTATGTTTTCAAACTTGCAAGCAGCCTCCCTGAGTAAAATTTGATATCAATAAGCTGTTCTAGAAAAAGATACAAACCAGCAGCAATTTATATTTTACTTATAAGAGAGCAGACTCTGGAAAGATGGTGGGAGGTGGTCTTGTTTCAAATGTTTAAAAAAAATCACATGAAATGTTTTCAAAGATAGGAAGAAGTCTGTGCATTAAAAGCTGAAAGATCAATGAGGTACTTTTAGCTTGGGCCAAACCAACTTGGGGAAAACTGATTTGTGATTGGTAAAAGAATTTGCATTAAGATTGATTTGACAGGCTCTGGTAATACTACAGTATTTTCAATTATTGTTTCTCATTTTTTAAGGCAAAACAGAGAGCAGAGGTTCTTCAGTCCACGCAACGGTTCTTCTCTGAGCAGCAACAGAGCAAACAGATAGGAGGCAAAGCCCAGAAAGTGGACAGTGATTCAAGTAAACCTTCTGAAACACTGACTGACCCTCCTGGTGTCTGTCAGGAAAAAGTAGAAGAA